AGCTTCACATTCTGAGAAACAGCTCTTTATTATAGGAGTTAAAGTATAGCTTGACAGGCAGCAAAAGTGTGTTTTGGCATCTTAGGTCACGAGGCCAATGTTAATCCTCTGAAGAGTGCATAGAACACATCTGTTCTTCAGGGATTCTAAAACCATCCTAGTCACCCTTCTTGACATTTACTCAGAAGACGGCAACAGCTGCATCTAATTCAAAGTTTACCGTCAACTTTTCTTGTCCGTCTTTTGTCCCTTTCCCAGGGGATGAAAGAGGAGAAATAAAACAGAAATGTGAGCCTATCGTTCCCTGGGTCACTGTAGAGCATGTAGATCCGGTGCCACAAGATGCAGGCAGTGTGCAGACAGGGTCGACTATAAAGACTATGCAGGGCAGTTGTAGCAGGTGAGAAGAATGTGCATGGATGTTGCATCTTGAGTCGCTGGTGGTGCATGTAGATCCGGTGCAGATGGGTTCATGCACCAGGACCTTAGGTGATGTAGGCAGGTACAGTAGTCACTGTCTTTAGAGTTGAATTGTTTGGTTGCGACAAAGAGTCGGCAGGACGGGTTGTAGATCCCGCATGTAGTTAATGATGAGGCAGTTGGATGTATAAACAATGACTGGTAAAGCAAGATGTAGCCCTCTGCATTTTTATTTTCTTAGACCCATCTAAACAATCAACCCAAACATCTCTTTCCTGTAGAATCTCTGTGGCTGTCATAAAAACTAAAGTACATTTTATATTTATTTTATTTTTATTTATATATACAAGAGTTCTTAAATTCTTGTAAAGCCACTAGCACGCATAGTATTTCAAGCAAGTCCTTGATCCTTTTTTCCCCGGAATACGACCTTCCCAAATCGTTTAACCAGGTACCCATTTTACTGTTGGGTTAAACAGAGGCAACGGTTAAGGATTTGCTCCCAGTAAATCCTTCCCGGCCAGGATACGAACCCAGGACAAAGCGCTCGCGAAAAGCCAGGCGAGCGTCTTGCCACTACGTCAAGGGGACTGTAACACAGGATCTTCCTGTTTGAAAACCATACTGTCTGTTCTTATGTCATTACTCTCCAGGTGTTCTACCCATTTGGTTTTAACTATTTTTTCTAAATGTTTTGACTACCATGCTTGTTAATTATGAGTAATTTAGAGGGTCTTCTCTGCTACCATTTTTATAGATTGGAACTATGCCTTTTTCCATATATCTGCTAAGTTTTCTGTGCACAAAGTTGTTTGGAATATCAATTGAAGTGGAATACTTAGCTCAGTTGTACAGTCTCTCAGCACCCAAGGAAAAACTCCAACTGGTCTAACATATTTCTTTCTTTCTATCCCCTTGAGTAGTTTTCCACTTAAAACACCACTTTGAATAAACAGAACTTTGATAACATAACTTTTCCCACTGTTTAAAACCACATTACAATAGAACTTTGCTTCAAAGTTTAGATTTACTGTGTGATCAAAATTAGTCTTATTTCTGTAAACAATGGCATCTTTACAGATTTACAGTAGCCTACTAATAATCACACATGGAATGCTAGGGAGGAGGGGTAATTATTTTAAATTTCAGCATTAAATATTTTAATGGAAAATTGACTTACAGAAAATACCAAGAACAGGTTGTGTATGTTAGTTAATAGTTTGCAGAGGAGGCAAAAATCTGATATTTAGCTGTAAATACCAAAAGAAGCAGTTTCATATTTCTGCTGTGTTTCAGTTATGTAATCACAATGGAATTACAGTACTGTATTTCAAAAGAATCATCTTCAAAAATATATCTCTTGATGCTTTATATAAAAAATGTATGCAAACAAAACAGAATACAGTTCCATTTTCTCTAACTATAAAACATGCCAGTATACGATTCATAGATGTGTTCCGACACCCCCACAATTAGCAATTTCATAATGTCTGGAGCATTAACACTTACAGCATCTAACCCCCACATTGTGCATGGACTACAATATCTCCAACTACTCATGTGTACCTACTTTGAATATACACATTATTCAACTTTATTCTCTCATTAAGAATAGCACAGGTTGTATAAACATCAACAGCCATATATAACATAAATGTATAAAGTTGAAAAAGTTTGTATTAATAGGGAGACTGAGGCTTGTATATACAACACAACGTCCTACTGAAACCCAGCAGACCAAATTAACAACTAAGAATTCAACATTTTTCTTACCTTGAAATATGTTAGTGGACTAGATATATAATACACATATACACTGACACTTAAAAAGTAATTTGTTTACAAAAATTTCAGATCATAACAAAAGGATTTATACTTATCACTTATTCTATTAAAAATATATTACAGTAATTATACTTTAGTAATCGTTTAACTTTCTCTTTCATTCATTTTTTTTAAAAGATCTTCAAATGTTTACATTAGTTATGAAGAAAATAGACAAAAATCAGTATACAGTTCTGTACATTACGAATCACACAAATATACCACCTTTCAGATACGCTGTGATACTTAATGACATACATACATTCAACCAGTTAACTAGAACATGGGTAGTCATAAGTGCATATTACAGTATATGTACAGGCACTGTACATTATGTATGTATATACTCATATTTAGAGATGTTTTGTTTGTACATATGGGCACTACACATGTTCAGAAAATGTATGTGCAAATGTATAGATATAGTGTACATATGTACATTGTAAATTATCAACCACACTATTGTGGAAATAAACATTTCATTCACTTGGGCACTAGGAGATTCGAACTGCTGGCCCCACAGGCATGAGGCAGAAGCTCTTCTGCTGTACTATGAGATGGCTACAAATACGAAAGATTTCAGAGGCAACAACCCGCTGCCCACCTGAAATTTTATACTTTTGCCAGTTGCTATCAGGTACTTAGGAATAAAGTGATCCATGGCCATGTCATATAAATTGTCTTATAGTACAGAATCTGGTAAAAATGGGATCCAGATAATGGGTTCCACTGTATGAATTTGCAATTCAATGCCATGTCATCCAGCAAGAGTGGTATGGGTACATCAGATGAGGATAAAAAGAACTTCCTTACCATGGACAAGACGGCAGAGTTATTAATTACTGTGATTGTGGCTGGGAGTGTTAGAAACTAGCAGATTACAGAGTACGGGCATTTTTCCGCATCAACGCCTTTTCCAGCAGATCGGACCAGCGAGATACGTTGCTGGTTTGCCTTATTGCTCCGCACTACGCGTCTGGTCTTTCTGACGCATGTGTATCGCCATTTATATGGTGATCAGGTGGCTTCTTTGATGATGTCCCACCTGCAGTCTTCTTCACGGCAAACAGTATGACAGTATCTTTGTGGTCTTTGTCTCTTTCTTTCTCTTCGAAGGTTTTCATCAATTTTGGACCAGGTAGTTATGTCCTCTCTCTCTCTCTCTCTCTGCTTTTTCTGGATCGGAACCTCGTGCCTCACACTAGCACTTATCATCGCGTGGTGTTGGCAGAGCCCTCCAGCTTGTGTTCGGGGTGGATGTTGCTTCCGCTCCGTTTGCAAGCTTTCCCGTGCATTTTCTCACCTCCGGCCTGCTTATGTGTCGCTTGAGCCTTCTTGGTCTTTAGACCGTGTTCTTTTTCTTTTTTCTCCTTATTTTTTTTTTCCCCTTTGGTTAGGGAAAGCTTTTGGAAGGCCTTGTTTTTATTTGCCTTGGTCTTTGGGGGTCAGGTTGGGGAGCTTTCATGCTCTTCTCTGACACCAGGAGTTCTGTTTGTTTGGGGTCCAGGTGGTTGTTTTATTAGTTTGCAGCCTTCTCCATTTCTGTAGAAGAATGAGACGGCAGGCTTCCGCAGGGGTCCGTTGGTTGTGGATGCTTGGTTGGTTAGGTCAGGGGTGCATGACATGTTGTGTCCAGTGGCAGCTTTATGGCCACTGGTTCTGTGACTGTGGAAGCTCTTTGGGTGAATCCGATTTCCCTGTTACAGGGCTCGTGTGTCTCAGGTTGTCCGCAGTGTCATAAAGTTCAGCTAGCCTGCAATCTACCCTCGTGCCCATGACGTTCGGAAGTATGTTACTCTCGCAGCGGTTTTTGGCGACGTGTCTTGGATAGACATTTGGGCGCGGGGGTTTTGGAGGTCGAGCAGGGTCCTGGCTGCCATGTACAGTATCTAGTGGATACAGTTCCGGTTCCTTCCCGGCCATGTGTGGTTTTGGGGTGCCCATCTCTTCTTCGTCTTGAGACCTGTGGTGCTGCCACTTCCTGGGTACGTCCCTTCTTTTACTTATCTTTGGGTAGTTAGCTTCAGAAAGCCGATGGGGCTCCCCCACAGAAAACTAGCGTTGAATGTAATGAAACGGCATTTTATGGGTGATCCCCGGAGGCTCCCTGACAGTTTCCCTCCCTCTGGTCGGCATTTTTTTCATTGTTCAAGAACTAGAGTGGTAGGCTTCCCCTCCCCCACCTACGTGGGCAGGGATAATGCTAACAAGTGGAAGTGCTAGTCGCATGAAGGGTTGCATGTTTGGTTTCTTTCTAGGGGAGTTATTTTATCTTTTTGGATGTAGATTGCATAGGCTAGCCAGTGAACTGTTTTGATTCGCCCACCTTTCTGGGTCCTTCCCCCGTCGATGGCAATTATGACATACAGTACTTTAAGTGTAAAGTGCTCATAGGCCATTGCTCCCTGCGTCTCACCGAGGGGACCAGGTTCTGACTCACAGAACCTGGTCCTGTTCAGAACCATATATATCATGTTAATGTGGCTCACAGTCACATTAACATGATATATATAGATATATATATGAGCCATATATAATATGGCTCACAGAACCACATATATCATGTTAATATGATTTCTGTGTGATTATCATTATTATTTATAGGCACACAAAATCACTATATACTGTATTATTTGTATGCCTGAATATGTTGAAAGCATGTATTGTATAATTTGCCACAAAAAAATCCATACAATTCTGTGATAGTCAAAAGGGCAACTTTTACAAATAACAGATTTAATACATAACCAGATTGGGTCTTGAATGATATGATCCAAATTTTTGAGGGAGCACTATACACATACAGTATAGTTAAATTCAACAATACATCCACATACAAAGAGGCAGTGATATAAACAAATATATTTAAAATAAGCATACACAATTACATGCAGTGCCAGGTACACATCTAATATGCACATATGAACATCTAGTAGGAAAAAAAAAAAACGTCCAATTTATTTATCTGGAATATTCCACAACTCTGCATGGCACATATCCACTGGTAAATATTTAGTAAACATATGGCACACACCTTCACCTATGTTGCCAAATTGATTTGCCCAATTCCCTCAACCCAGCGAGGGGGGAAAGGGTCAAGACTTTGGTTCTAACTTGCATGATTCCTCTTACTCTCCATGTTCATGAGAGTAGCTACAACTTTGAAAACACTTCTTTCACTAAACATACAAAATCTGTGCACCTTATTAATTTACTTTTTTTTTTTTAACTATTGAGTAGCTGGATTAAATTTTAAAATATTTTTCCCCTAGAATAATTTCATCAATGCCTAAATTTTTACTGCAAATCACAAATTATGCTTATGAAAACAGTATGAGGATTATTTGAAGATATTATAACAAAATAAATATTAGACTACAAAATTATTGTAATGTAAAACCATGATTAGCAAGCTTTTGTTTAACTCAATTATATTTGGAATTTCCATAGTATGATACTAATAATGAATGTATTCTAATGTACATGTACAACAGTGAGCTTCCAATCAATTTATTTTTTTTAACAGGGTCATAGTTGAACTAATGACAGGGCCGTAGTTAATGATGGGGGACAATAATGCTAGAATAATTTCACTTTTCTTTTCCAGTTATTGAGTGTGACTGACCCATCTGGCTTGCCTACACCCCAATGTGTGGCTGCTTACTGCTCGGTAAACATGCAAATTTGTCTTGGAACAAATTCTTATTATTTGTCACGTACACTAAAAATCAGTATTGTGGTTATCACAGGAAACTAAAAATAATTTATACATAGAATCTCAACAACAACCATATATGGATGGCTCTGCTGTTTATTTTATAAAATGTATTAAAAAACAAAACAAGAGCTTGTGGTGTCAGTTTATGAAAGTCCATTGTTATGAAATACATACTCTATATATACAGTAGTTATCCGTATCTTCCATTGCCGAGAAACCACTAATCGTGTCGGTTCAACAAAAGTTTGGCACAAAAATTATTGTATCAATTAATATTTTTACTTAAAATTCCATTGAGCTTAAGCTGGTAGTATTAATTTTTCAACCCCCTTTACGCTGAAAAAGTACATTACACTCAATCTAATTCAATAGGTTTTAAATAGAATCTGTTTCTCCTCATTGAAATGGGCATTTATCATTATAAACATTTAAACTAGCAGATAACAAACTTCACATTGCGTTTGTGTTGACAGTGCTAATGCACCAATGTAGCTATATATTTGAAAGCCAAAAAGCTCCTCCACCAGTTCAGCCATAATGTGATAGGTCTCTAATAAAGTATAATCTCATCATATTTATGTATGATACAAAGATGCACCATAAAACTCAACAAGAATGGCATTACAAAGGAAGCTGATGGACCAGAAGCACCCAACTAACATGCTTGCATATGCTACTGGATTTCAACAATCATTGCTGTTCAAATCTTAACAACAATAGGTCAAGCACTATTTCTCCCTTAATTCTGAACAACTGTCTAAATAATAATAATAATCCAGAAACTAATTACTAACCTGACAGCAATTTTTTGTCTCACTATTGGCTGCTGAGATAAATGGACTGACAAGATAATCACTTGACTATGAACATACACTGAAAACCTTAAGATATAAAAATAGATTTGTTGGCATATTTTGTTATCAAAATTCCCTTTACCTGAATCATTTAAGAATTCCTCCTCATTCGCTGAAAAATCTACATAATGTGTTCCCATATACTGAAAACCCGTTACCACAAAGCTAAATCAGGCAAATTTTAACACAACCAGTACTGTAAGCCAAAATTACAATTAATTCACATAGAAAATATTTCTCAAATATAAAGGTTCTAATAGTAAATCTTCACTATTCTAGGTAAAGTACTGTACTGCAGCATGTATTCAGCTATGAATCATATATACAACCTTGGCTGGTTAAAAGAAAAAAAAAAGTACTGTACGTGCAGTATCCACACTTTACCATCCACAATATAGAGATACTTTCCATTTACATCAAATAACTCCATACTGTCTAATATCACCAATAAGAGTCCTTATAAAAGTCTCAGTATAGGAAATATCACTATAATGACACTTTATATTGCTAACGACACAGTTCGCTATAGTGACGTGTATATATTGTCAACAGATGCATATATTTCTGGAAAGTGTGGTCTGTTCTCTGGATCATACTGCCAGCACTTTAGCATCAGCTGATACATCTCTTCTGGGGTGCTGGGAGGCGCCAGCATCCGGTATCCTGAAGCAGGTTAACATAAATGTAGGAGCAGCAGGGAGTATTAGTTAAATAAAGAGGGGGAAAAGAATAGGGTCAGTTTACTCATGATGGAATATTAGTTGAATTACAATAAATTTGTTCATAGTAGAACAGAGTTGAGTCAAGAGGGAATATGAGTAAAGATTAGTTATTCCAAGATTTATTCAAGATTGAAGAGTCGGGTTAAATTAAAGTCAGACTGCCAAGAGTAAAATCAAATTAGAGATTTAGAAAGTATTAACTTAAGCTAAAGGAACTAAACAGTGATTTTTTTTTATGGTAGGTGTAAGTGGCTAATTCAGGGTTAACATTATACAGTATACAGTACAGTAATTAATAATATGAATCATTTTAGGCCAGCAAACTACTTGTCAATACTTAAACCTTGTGTAGATTTTCATATTCAATGAAAAAATTGATAATTACCCGAATCAATCATCTCCCTGGCTTTAGTATTGGAGTAGCCATGATAAGGAACTTCGCCCGAGGAGAAGATCTCCCAGCACAGAACACCATAACTCCAGACATCACACAAGGAAGTGTACTTGCCTGTTCAGGTAAAAACACTTTGGATAAAACAGGTACTTCTAGTGACATATTTCATTATATAAAATGGGCATCTTAATGCAGTAAGGCTCCCTTTAAACAGTTGCAAGAGATGTTGCTTTTTTTTTTTTTTTTTGAGGAACTGAAGGATGTAAGGCTTCTTTTTTTTTTGAACCACCAAAGAAGATAAGGTTTAATTTTTTGAGCCATTGAAGGAGATAAGGACTTTCAATCAACATACATTGGAGGTGGATCTAATACTAAGCAAATTATGGAGAGAAATAGAGAAGAAATTTTTTAGCAACTAATGAAACTATGGCTTCAAATTAAAATTACTAAAGTAGCAGGCAACCGGCAATTTATTGTGCAATTTTCATGAGTTTAACAAAGGCAAACAAAATAAAAATTTGTAATATTTAAATTTATATTCAGATTAATAAAATTACTTCAGAAGATTAACAAAAATAAAATGCCTGGTATTATTAAGTTTTCTCATATATCTTTACCTCAAAAAATTATTTGTTTTACCAAGAAATGATTTTATTATTCACACCTAATATTCAGGATTTATTATACATTATAAACAATATGTAAAATGGTTACTAATTTCAAATATATTTAGAATTTTCCATTGAAAATGAGAAAATTAGTAACCTGTGTAGTTCTGCATTAAATCCTATTGCCTCGACTCAAACTCACCGAAGTTGAGAGCTTCTGGCGCAGTCCATTTGATGGGTATTTGTTTCATGCCGTCACTGACTATATATTCCTCTTCCTCCCGTGACATGCCAAAGTCAGAGATCTTGACTATATTGCGGTGCCCTGAGAATTGGCAAGGATAACATACATAAAACATTAATTACTCAGTGAGGTGACAGATAAGCTAGGTAGCTGAACTAGTGCATTAGATGAGCCATAGTAAGGTTGAACCTCCAAAGAGGTTCAACCTTACTATGGTTGAACCTCTTTGGAGGTTCCTAATGAGGTAGGTAATATAAAATTACCTACCTCATTAGATAGTAAAGTACTAGATCAGCTAATGAGTTGGTAGATTGGTGAGTGAAGTAATCAGCAAACCTTCAACATTATAGATGAACTGTATAGGTTCATCTCAGTTGTCAGGGGGCCTGATAGCCGAGTGGACAGTGCTTCGGATTCGTAGTCCTAAGGTTTCGGGTTCGATCCCCGGTGGAGGCGGAAACAAATGGGCAGAGTTTCTTTCTCCCTGATGCCCCTCTTACCTAGCAGTAAATAGGTACCTGGGAGTTAGACAGCTGCTATGGGCTGCTTCCTGGGGGATGTGTAGCAAAAAGGAGGCCTGGTCGATGACTGGGCTGCGGGGACGCTAAGCCCCGAAATCATTTCAAGATAACCTCAAGATGACCTGACTCCCCCACCCCAAAAAAAATCAGCACAACTGATAACACTTTCTCCCAGTGATGGCTGACTTTGTTGGCTACAACAGGCCTGCTGGTCCACTCTCAAGGTTCACCCTAGTTTCCTCAACATTATCCGTTCAAGTTTAATACTGTCTGCTCATTCTTAATACAGTACTGTATTGTACTATTTTTTTAGTTCTGTTCTGTTTAATTACTGTTTTGTTTATGCATTATTTGATTTAAATTCTCTTAGTGTTGCAACTAAATTGATTAATGCTTAACAAATTTTAAATTTGTTTTCCAGAAATACAATTACAGTACAGTATTTACAACCTTAATATAAAAAAACTAAACCTAAAGTAATGATAGTATGTATATGATAATTAAATACAGTACTATATATTAAAATAAATATTCTTTGCTTAAAAACTAAATATAAGAAAAGAGTAACAAGTAAAAAAATCAAAATAAGATGAATCCTGACTCGTTGATAAAACACGATCACTGAGTGCAGGGTCATGACAACTTCCTCACCCTGAAGCTCCTTCGATGACACACAAGATCTCCAAACACACAGCAACTTACCAACAAGGCAGTTTCTAGCAGCCAAGTCACGATGGATGCAATTCTTGGATTCTAGGTAAGCCATCCCAGAGGCAGTGTCCAAACACATTCCCATCATCTGCTTCACTGTCAGTTGGCCCTTGTGGTTCCTCACGAAACTTAGTAATGAACCGCCTGGATTTATAAAAAAAAAACTATATTACTGTAATGCGTTGACATACAAAATCTGCTGCAACATGCAATTACTTGTCAATTGGGTCCCCAACCACTTGGGCTGAATGGTAGAGTGACTGTCTCGCTTCATGCAGGTCGCCAATCAATCCCAGACCGTCCAAGTGGTTGGGCACCATTCCTTTTCCCCGTCCCATCCTGAACCCTTATCCTAATCCCTTCCAAGTGCTATATACAGTGGAACCTCGAGTGATGGGTGACTCCAGTTACGAGCATATCGAGTAACAAGCAAGCCACTTGCAGAAAATTTATCTCGATTGACAAGCTTTTGCTCGATTAACGAACAAACCACACGGCACTTCCTACCGTTCTCGCTAGTTCTCAGACGTCTCCAACGACAGTGTTGTTGTTTCGCAAGACGAGCATTTCACATGACGAGCTCAGTGCTGGAACTGATTAAATTCGTTAATCGAGGCACCACTGTAGTTGTAATGGTTTGGTGCTTTCTCCTGATAGTTGCTTTGCCTTTTCAACTGGGTTGAAATAATTAACTTCTCATTACTGAATCACATAAGTGGTTTGGTGTGCTGACAATGACTTTGTATCTGGCATGACTCCTTTGTGTCTGGTTGTTTCCTTTAATTTAAAGCAAACTCTATCTGAAGCTGGGAGGAGAAGAAATCCTGACATACAAGAATAAGGGGGGGGGGGGAGGAGGAAGGTTCAAACACAATGTTTATCAAATTAGTGCTGTCCACCCTGGAACTAAACTGAATGATCACCATACATACTGTACATAATTTATAAGTTACACGTGGCCCACTGTATGCTAACGTTTCGAGAAGATCAGCTTATCTAAAAATTTATCTCAGGTGCTGATTATGCACCACATAGCAGTTGGTGGGACCATGGGTGGGTGTGGTGCTTCCACTTGGTTATAATTGCTAGAGCGACCAGATGAGTGAGCAAGTTGGTATTTAATGTAAGTGTTGTCAAGTGAGAGGACAGGGAAGGACTTATTTTTATGGATTAACCTCTGATGGTCATTTCCAGGCTGGATATTTAGTTATTGAATGACTTCTTCAGCACACAGCCCATCCTCCTGTCTTGGTAGTACTTTTTGTAACGATGAGGACCATAGTATATATACTGGCGTACAATGAAATTAGAAAGTAGAAATCTTAACTATTGAATTGGACAAACCAGAAAACTATTTTTTACTGGTGTTGCTTTGACAAACTAAACTAACCTAACCTTCCTAGGCCTAATACATGATGTTGACCAAACCACATGCTAGAAAGTGAAGGGACGACGACGTTTCGGTCCATCTTGGACCATTCTCAAGTCAACTGAGAATCAAGTCGATCAATCAATCGACTTGAGAATGGTCCAGGACGGACCGAAACGTCGTCGTCCCTTCACTTTCTAGTGTGTGGTTCGGTCAACATATTTCAGCCACGTTATTGTGACTCCTCGCCTGCTTATACATGATATCTGAGGCCTAATATACTACATATATGTGCTATACTAGGCCTAGTAATATTTAAGTTTGTTTTTTAGCTTCATTTATTTTAAAAGAATTCCTTACTTGTCAGTATACTACCACTTAAAAGTCAAGTACGTATGAATTCGTGACTATTGACGCCCATCACAATAGGTACTATCTAAACAGGAGGATGAGTTGCAGAATGATATGAGACTGCAGAAATGCTTGAAAAATTCCTGAAGTGTCATGCTGTATGTTGCCTTAAATGTAATAGCTAAGATATTTTATGATTTATTAAATAACTTACCTGGCACCAATTCCATCACAATCATAATTGGCTGTTTTTGAACACATATACCAATGAATTTGACTATATTGGGATGGTCATATTGCTTGAGGATGCGCCCTTCTTGTAAGAATTTCTTCTTTTGCTCATCTGGAAGTGTAACTCTACATGTCTTAACAGCAACCTCAAGTCCCGAATCCCTTAATCGAGCCTTGTATACATCCCCAAAGTTACCCTGTAAGAAAAGTACATACATATATAATGAGGAACACAAGTGACCTATATAGTGAAAGAAGGCTATAGATATAACAAAATATTATTTATAGTTATAAAACCACTATCACATTCCAGCAGTCGTCTACAACAGCACCTGTGCTTCTCATAAATTGCCATATACAATACACACACACACACACACACACACATGTGTGTGTGTGTGTGTGTGTGTGTGTGTGTGTGTGTGTGTGTGTGTGTGTGTGTGTGTGTGTGTGTGTGTGTGTGTGTGTGTGTATGTGTGCGCCCTCCACACGTGGGGGGGCGCCAGTGGCTGTGTGGAGAGCACGCTGGACGCGTAATCCTATGGCCAAGGTTCAATTCCCGGCTCCAGCGAGAAACAATTGGCAGAGCTTCTTTCACCCTGATGCCCCTGTTACCTAGCAGTAAATAGGTACCTGGAAGTACCTATTTAATATAAAGGATGAGTTAGAAGTTAGACAAAGATGTACTTTTTTAGTTCAGTATTCACTGTCATTCAGAATATGAGGGTTAAGACTGGAGAGAATGAAGGTTGTGTCATCAGCAAATACGCATCAACCAAAATGGCTCGAGATATTGAGTAAAGTAAATAAAAGTAAAAACAATGAGAGAAAACATTAATCTTTCACAAAAATTATTCCAAATTTAAGAATGCAAGTAAAAGAATAAGTTGGAAAGTGAATATAATTTCTTACTCCAAAGCATTATATGAAACTCACTCTGCCTATTTTGTCTCTCAGCTCAACATCATCATTATTTAGTTCCCATCGTTCACGGAAGATGGGCGTGCGAAGTATAGCACCCGACTTGTTTGTGACCGGTAGACCACAGCTGTGCTGGTGAAGGATTAGTTCCTGGATGGTTGGGAAGGCTGGACCCTCAAACCTGTAGTGACCCTTACAAGAAATAAAACCGTGGAAATATTAAACAAAAATACAATGCTACACATAAATAAATCATATTACATTCTGATAAAGTGCCAGATAATACAAGGAAAAAGTTTTAACAGATAAAAATGGCACAAAACAAAGTGTTATACCTCAGGTGTGGTCTGGACTATGAAGTGCTTGTGAGTGCCCCAGCAAACTGAGAGAACAATTTGTTGCTCATCATTACGTGTAGTCTCCCTCACTAGATAATTGCCCTCATTGACCAATAACCGCACCACCTCCTCTCGTGGTAATACACCATGAAACCATGGTTCATCCTCTAAGCAACGGTCCGGGTCATATGTCTGAAAGTCAATTTTCATTTTAGATAATTTTATTGGTGGTGTTATAAGGTGGTATGAATTGTAACCAATTTATTATGCACACAATTAAACTATGTTCTTAAGATTAATTGTTCATGCATGTTCTTCAAAAATGTCACCACAGCCAATTCAAATTCAGCAGTTGGACATGTTCTTATTTAGTAAAATCAAAACAGCATTATAGGCCAACAAGCCTTTTGCAGTTTCCTTAATTCTTACGTATTCATATTTTTATGTTCAACATACATTTTGATGCTCTCACACTTTTAAATTGATCTTGAGGCTGGTAATTCTTCTTAATACCTCAAATATTTACTTATCAAGCTTACTTACCAATTCTGGTATACCATTAACTGCTTGTGAATGGACTTCTGCTTGGCCTTCTGCAGACATTTCCGTGAGAGACTGTTGGTCTGGTGCTGTGGTTCTCTCTTCGGTATTGGCTCTGGTGGGGGTGGGTGGTGTGGATGCAGGTGAGGCGCTAGTCTTACGGTTGAAGGGTTTGCGAAGCAGCTCTTTGATAGCAGCTGAGCGCGTCTTGAGCGAGAGCGAGTCGGAACGTTGGTGCTGTGGCAAAGAATATTAATGCAGTCATTTAAAAGAGTATACTGTAATGTAACATTGAGCCCTGTATATCGTATATAGATAATTATTGTTAATAGAATTTTTAGCTATCATTTCAGCTCATTTCAAAAGTACAGTAAATATAAACCTTATACTCTCTCCATATCATATGAATAATATCATATATAATTCAGATAATACTAAAACTAATTGGAAAATGTGGAGAAGACTTTTTGCAAGTCATGAGCCTCCTGTTCCCACCATGGATACTTGAGACAGTAACCAGACATTCAGATGCTTATATAGCTAAAGCTTTTATGATCCAATCGAGACTCATATCATATGCCAGACTCATGACATTTGAAGCATACCACATTATTTATCTTTAATATGCCAGCTACTTATCACCGTAGTCACTAATGACACTTGCAATGATATTCACTAACCATTAATGACATTTATAATTTACATTAATTACATCTGTAATTTCATTAATGCATTTTACCCAACTATTCCACGAATCACTTAGGAAAACCAAAGTAACCAACGAGTTAGTGCCCCATCAGGTCAAATGATGATCGACTTGTCAGCAGCAAACAGTGTCCGACACAAGTTAGTTAGTTCATTTGATATGCACCCCATACCGATCTTGTGGGCGGTAGTGGAAAGGGTTACGGCCAACACAAGGTCAGGTGAAGTGTGAATATACTGTATTATTGATATTATATATACGGTATTGGATTATTATTATAATGAGGATCCTGGTAGTACAGTCGGGTTCATTCTCAATGCACAATCGAGAATTCCGGGTTCGAATCCCGAGTGGGACAGAAATGGTTGGGCACATTTCCTTTCATATCATGGCTCTGTTCACCTAGCAGTGAGTAGGTACTCAGGAGTTAGTCAGCTTGTTGTGGGGTTGCATCCTGGGCAGGTTCAGTAACTTGGCATTGGAAGGGGGGGGGGGGGGGGGGAGGACCTCGATAAAAGCCAAATGTGTATGAATGCACTCTGGCTTCCTGTCCCCTGACACAGTGAATTATAAGCTGATCAGGACTGTAGCATCAAAAGTCTAACTCCAATAGTAGTTCAGTGACAAATGCTCTGGATATACCGTGGATCTTCTCCAACGCCAATAACATTCATCAACACACAATTTAACACTCGAGTAATCTAATTCCAACTCTCATAAGACAGTACAGCCTTACTACAGAGGAGATAGCCAATTCTGGCCTTATTAAAGCTACCTGCTTTCACCCTGCATTCGAGCTCTCTGATCCCGCCCTCATCTGAACTCTTTGCGTTTGTTTTCTTCAAAGCTCTCTACCCTGAAGCCTCTCCCAAGCATTCTGCTCTCGGCTTCAGATCTTGCACAAGCTCTTTGTTTCTGGTCACCATCAGCACCAAGTTTAGGCCTTGCACACGTTCTCCATCTCTCTCTCTCTCCATCTCAGGTCAGCACTATGTCCTGCCTGACTCTGCCAGCAACATGTAACAAGCATTCTCATCTCAACTTATCACGACATGTCATACCAACATCCGACTAACAACCGTCTAAAAGTCAGACAGCTTTTCTGACCCTGTTGTGAACGTGGTGATACTGGTGGTGGTCCTTGTTGCTACAATCTAAGAAAGTTACATTGTAAAAGCATTAACCGAGTCTTGGTACTTATAATGTTCGCTTCCAGGTGGGCGGAAAGAGTTGTAATGATTTTTTTCATTGTCTTTCTTTTCTAATGTACAGTATAGCAAGTTGATGCACTCAGAGGTGGCTCAAGTTAAATGTGCCACTGTCTTCTCTCCATAACTGTGTTAAAGAATCACTTGCAAAGATCCCTGTCACGATTGGGGTAAGAGTCACAAAATCCTGGTGGATGCTATGAGTCCTGGCTGGGTCATAGAGCATAGGGGGTGAGTCCTAGAGCCTAGGGCTAGGCCATAGAGCCTAGGGCTAGGCCATAGAGCCTAGGGCTAGGCCATAGAGCCTAGGGGCACCTCAATTAGCCTAACAGGCTTCCTATCCCTGGCAATGGGATATTAAAAATAGTATCTTAATACATATCTTTGTATTGTATTCAGAATTTTAAGTAACTTCTCTAAAATACAAAACCAATCATAAAATATAATACAGAGTTGCATGATGGTGTTAGTTGAAATTCATCAAGGAAAATTCTAGGTCATGCCACCACACTATGAAGGAATGCTGTTATGAAGAACACATGAAGAACACACGCACATACACACAACACACATATGCAGAACACTGCTATGAATAACACACTCATACATAATACAGGAAACATTTTAGCTAGCACACACATATAAGAACACTTATGACTCTTACAAACATAAGAGAACATTTGTGTACATAACTACATGTTACAGGATACAGTGTTACAAATGGATCATCAGAATATATAAATAAACATAGTGATTTGCCATAACTGATCACACACAATATAGCTGCCAGCCTCTGCCAACACAACCGGTAATACAGTATAGTATTTTATGTTTCCAGTGTCATGCAAACAGAGACATCACAACACACAAATTCAAATACAGTAGATTAATTCTAAACAGTTATACTGTATACTGGCATGCTATAATGTTCAGTATGCCATTCATGTAAACAAGTAAATATACAATTTTATATATATATATATATATATATATATATATATATATATATATACTGTATATATATATATACTGTATATATATATATACTGTATATTTATATATATATATATATACCTGTACAGTCTATTTTATTAGGTTTTAAAATGTTAGAAGACAAATTAACACAGTACAATATAACTAAAAATCTCTGTTCAATGTATACTGTAGGTAAGTTTATTAAGAATCTATCACAGCGAAGTGACTGTTGCAAGACATCTAGTCCATGAAACTTAATTATTTGCTATAGGCAGGCAGACAGACCTGATAAGGTTTTATACTACTGGCTGACCACTTAATATTAACACCATTGAGGATACACCATGCTTTACGTAATATCCAGTGAACTTATCTGACCAGATTTTTAATGGCATGTTTACTACATTTAAGCTGACAAGGGTTTTGCATGCATATACCGTGACAAAAAATTAGTATATGGGCAAGTAAGTCACAATAACATGGCTGAAAGCAAATAACCGAATCCGCATATACAGTATACAAATAAAATGAAAGTGATGTTGTTTCGGTCTATTATCGAGTTACGACTTAATAAGAGTCCAGGATGAACCAAAACATCGTCACTTCCATTAAATTTCACATGTGTGCATTGGGTTATTTATTTATATTGGAATTAGTATCTGAGGCAGCCAAATGATACTCAAAAATTATAGTGTAGTTTCATTTAACATATCTATTATGGAGAAAACAAAAATAATAATTTAGCTCAAAAACCTCATGAACAGTGACCCACTGGAATATTATTGCTACTGTACCACACTACTAATTACTGATGCTCATCCAGTGGCTGATGATGAGTTACCTCCATTCACAGTATGGATATTGTACACAAAGGAGATGCAGTATGGCAACAGGATATGAAACGCTAATCTACATACCAGAAAATTGAGAGCGAGTATGGAATTGGACTTTAGGCCCTGCAAGTGAAAGCAAATCTGTTGAGCTGTATTGTATTTATGTTTTACAAAATTGTATATCTATTTAGTTTATCAGCTTTATAGTAATAAAAAGCCGACAGCATGAAGGCGTAAGTGCTTAAAATCGCACATTAGAAGAAGCAAGCTCAATGCAAATTTTAAGCATATCTGTACTGCAAGTACACTTTCACAATTACCCAATTTTTTGAGTAAATAAGAGGCAAAACAGAAGGTGTTAAATATAGATGAAATGCTCCTTTCTGAACTGGTCAATCAGTTGCTTCCTTAGGCAAGCACTTAATTCCCCCAGTTTGAGTCTCTTCAACTGTGAGTCTCTTCAATCTCTTCAATCACCACATTGACCATGTCGTGGTACAGTTGACTAAGGCGCGTTTGGGAACACTCAGCGCATAGGTTCGAACCCTCATCAAAGCCCTTGTGGATTTGTTCACTTGATATATCACGTTATTGTAATTTCTGTGCGTATAATGTTAATGCAATAAACTGATGGAAGCTACTAAAGGTCAATGTCTAGAAAAAGTCCCTCTACACTATCAATCAAGAATCAAAGATTGTGTGTAGCACAATCTAGGCTTGGGTCCAGATTCTGGAGCACTCGTGTGTGAGGATGTACTACTGACCGAACATCGAGAAGAAAACTCGACTTGTCAGGCAAGTAAATGCTCAGAAGATGCACGAATCTGTAAAAGTATACACATGCGTAACATCATGAAGCATTTGCCCTCACAGTGCACAAGACCTGACATCTTGAGATTAATCATATTAATACTTAGCTGAATGTGAGTTTCTTCACTGACCAAAGATCCATATGTGGTAAATTATGCATGGAAGGTGATGGAAGAGCGACAGCTGCCTTTGTATACTCAACTTGCATTGTCACATGGTGTCGGTGGTAACCAGGTGCTCAGTTAAGTTAGCAGTAGCACAGTGTTACTTGGCAGGCTCTTTGATTTCAAGTATTGCTTAGATGGGTTTTGAGTGTTTAGATGACTTTTTGAGGGGTCATTCTGGAATGGACCAAGAATAGCCCCCTTTCTACAAATACAGTATTGAGAGCAGCAGTATACCGAGAACTTCAACAAGATCTTGTAGATCTGAGGCAAAGTGAAATTGACACCAGTAATTCCATCTATCATCATACTATCATGCAAGAGGAGCCACACATCTATGGATCATCCAATAAAATCAGCAGACTTCTAGATGTTACTACTGCTCGGCTTAGACTCGGTTACAAGTATCTCTGGGAATTCTCATTATCTGCTGATGTAGACCTGACCAAATGTAAACTGTGTCAACAAAATTATTCGCACACCCTCCGTCACTATGTGATGGAGTGCAAAAAGATACGTGAATTTAGAGACAATTCTATAACCAATGTTCCAGCGATGTGTAAATATTTCATTCAAAATGATCTGCTACCAGAAATTTTAGCCAAATATCCCCAGTTTGCTAACTGTAGGTAGTAACTGAGTGATTGTAACCTATCCACCGCTGCCCACTGGATGGGGGGCGGTGTGCAGGACAAACATATCAATTGTGACACTAGCTCTCCACATATGTCAGTGACTTAATTTAGAACCTGTACTTGAGGTCGATCTCGAACCCATTGTTGATGTGACGACTTATATTAAAGTTTGTAACTAGCTCATCAAGTTTGTAACTTGCTTAGCTAAATGAATTGTGGGGTTCAGTCCCTGAGCCCATTATGTGCCTCTGTAACCCTTTCCACTACCGCCCACAAGATGGGTATGGGGGTGCATAATAAATGAACTAAACTAAAACTGGTAGGGGCAAGTATAAAATACCTGCACTATGTCAAAATTGAGATAATTTTGCAATGACCCAAACTGGATATAGTAGTGCATTGTCTATGGGGAAAAGCAGGTGCTTGCCTAAGGAAGCAACTGAGTGGCTTATGTTCAGAAATAGGGTTTGAGCTTAAATGAAAAGTGCATATCTGTGCAGATCCATTTGGTTGGTCCCCCTAAGGCAATCTGTTGATTCTGCTGCCATTGGAAGAGCGAATTGTATAGTCAGGCAGGGTGACATTAAACGTTCTGATGCCATGAGGAAATGTTCAAATGTCTCTGCAGGGCAAGACTGAAGGAAATCAAGAAATGGAGGTCATCATAGGGATACAGTACTTCTATCTTGAGTGATTTCTGAGGATTGTTGCAGGATCCCAGTAGTACAGTCGGGTTCGTTATTGACGGACAATGGAAAATTCCGGGTTCGAATCCCGGGCGGGACAGAAATGGTTGGGCACATTTCCTTTCACCTAAAGGAAAACCTTGAAAACCAAAACTCTGTTCACCTTGCAGAGTAGGTACTCAAGTGTTAGTCAGCTTGTTCTGGGGTTGCATCCTGGGTGGGGTCAATAATTCGGCCTTGGTTGGAGGGGGAGGGAAGAACCTTGATAAAAGCCAAATGTGTATGAATACACTCTAGTTTCCTGTTCCCTGACACAATGAACTAACTGAACTATTAGGATTATAATAACTAACTAAACTTCAGGATTAGTATTACAGTTTAGAGTTTTAAAGATATTAAGAAAACATAAGAATGTGAAGTGCTTTTATATAAAACATATTCAAGGATGTAAATAAGGGTAATGTATGTTGTTTGGGAGGTTGGAGTTAATTATTGTTTTGAGTGCTGATATATGTTGAGTAATTATGGGTGTGAGGTAGTGTGCCGTTGTGGCACACCTGGTGCGAATATCGTGAGATATGGGTATGTGAGAGAATTACCTGCCTTACCTCACTGCACAACTCATTCCTCAATGACAGCAGAATTTTAGGGGGCAGCCAAGAGGAATAGCTCAGAAATATCACAATGTAAAGAACACCAATACAGCACAACATAAAAAAATTATAAAATGAAAAATAACAATTAGGGTATGCAACATAATTATGTACAATAAAAGGAAATATCACAACTAAAGGCAATATTAGAATATATCACAATTATGGTCAGTCTATAGTATACTAGATCAGTGAGACTGAAATATATCTAACTTGCCTAATAGCACAGAAAACAAGACTCAATGGACATAATGACCATGGGAGACATGTCACAACTAGATGAACTACGTACCGCAAAATTCAAGGACAGTAAAGACTTTGATCTGAAACCCTGCAATGTGGAGCAGCTAATTACTGTCTGCCTCTTGGTGTCTCATTCAAGCATTGTGTATATACAGTATACAATTACTTAAAAATAAATATAATTACAATTATTTACAGGTTATTTATATAAAAATTAAAAGAAATATCAGGGAGTAAAAATTTGTATTAAAATTGCAGCTTATCACAAAAAAAAAACAGAAATGAAACAAAATCCTATTGAATACATCATAGAAAAGACGTACTGTACTACATTTTATTTGTAAACAAACCATTTAACCATGAACACCTTCAGATAGACAGTATAAGCATTGATAGTAAAAGTGAGGGAAAGTTCCCATATACTGCACATAGACAGGAGACTTAACTTCAAGCACTCACATATAGCATATAACCAAGTCTCTCTGAAGCTCTTGATATATTGTACTTTCAAAAATCAGATACCATGTCCCCAACTCTGCTCTTTTCACACTAACTCTCTAATCTGTCCCTATCTAACTTGTTTCATCTGTACATGGGGCTCAACCACTGCAAATTACCTCAAGCCCATCATCACCCAACAAAAATCTGCTATCAGAACTATAATAAATTTTGTCTTCAGACAACACACAGCCTCTGTTCAAATCCCTGAACATGCTAAACATACACTTACACCACACATTTTCTGGTACTATTTACACTTACAAAGCCCTATTCCTAAATTCTAATCCTGTTTTGAAACTCTTCCTACATATAACAGAACCCATGAACCAGATATAAATACCTCTTTGATACTCCCAGAGTCAGACAGCAAGTAAAAGGACCCAATATATGGAACTTCCTTCCTGATACTTTATTCAAAGGTAGAACAATGAAGTACAGTACCTAATTTCATCACCATTGTGTCCCACCTTGTGCTACTAACTCACCTTCTACTTTACTATGTAGACATACAACTATATCAATATAATTTCTTATTTATATTAAAATAGTAATTATGTGAAACAGAGCGGGGGGTAGACTTCACCTATAGAGGGTGTGTGGTGTGCACTCATGAAGTGGTTTACTTGTTATCACAGTGTATGTACAATCATCCATCTGGCGAGTGAGAAGTTATTTACTGTTGCATTATGTCCCAATCCCTGTCACACTAATAAATGTAATGCACGTCCACTGTTGGTTTAAGTCCCGTCAATTCAAAATAGTTGCGCCGGCCACAGTGTTCCTTCTCGTGTTTGAGGTGTTTCTTTATAATAAACAACTGTCTTGTATTTCCAATATAAAGTAATGTACATATACTGCAAGTAAGGGAATAAAGGATAGGTTTCGATAGTTTGTACTACAGTACATGGCTTCAAAGCTTGTGCCAATTACATAAATAGGTGTCTGAGAGTTAGACAACTGTTTTGGGTTGCATCCTGAGGAAGGTCAGTAGTTTAACATAAGAGGTACCTTGATACAAGCCTGAGTACTGTACAGGCTTCCTGGCCTTGACAGTTGTAATTATTATTATCTAATGAACAGGAAACAGGGTTATAGTGAAAGAGAAAATGTTAGGCAAGGGGAAAGTGGTAAGCAGAATTCAGCAGGGTTGAATACTGAACAAATCTACAAGGGCCGTGATGAGGATTCAAACCTACGTCCGAGATCATCCCAGACGCTGCCTTTATCGACTCATCGTAAGTTCAGTAGAACTTTGGTTTCAACTTTTTTACCATGTCATAGCTCAGTCGATAAAGGCAGCGTCTGGGATGATCTCGGACGTAGGTTCGAATCCTCGTCACGGCCCTTGTGGATTTGTTCATTTGATGCATCACGCAATTGTGATTTCTGTGTGTAAGGGTTGAATACTGTTTTTAAAATGACCTACCAGAGGAGGTAGAATTGTTCATGGCTGCATGACACTATAGGAGAACTTACATAAATGGTAAGTATAGGGAGACAAATGGCTACTGGAATTTAATCCAAAGAAATGTAAAGTAATGAGATTTAGAATATGGGTGAGGTGGCCTGAAGGAAACATTATTATACGTTGAAAACCACTGCAAGAATAAAAATATGAAAAGGGCCTGGGTGTGGACATAATGCCAGTTTTAACACCAGAGGCACACATAAAATGAATAACAGCAGCACCAAATGAGAAACCTTCAAACATAATGGTGGTACTCGAGAAATGAAGTAAGGAATATTTCAGAATATTAGACAAAGTATACATTAGACAGGCCTAGAATATGCAACTTCATAAAATCCAAATGTGATAAAGCTTAAGAAGACAATTTAGAAAGTTCAAAGACATTCTACAAGACTGTTACCAAAGATAAGAGATATGTGGTATGAAAACAGGTAAATTGAACTAAATTTAACAATACTGTACTAGAAGACAGAAGAGCCACAGGCAATATGATCACAATGTATATGATACTGAAGGAAATAAGCAAAGTGGATAGAGAGAATCTTTCCAGGTGATGGGACAACAAAGCAAGGAGCACAGGTTGAAACTGGAATCATGAATGATCCAGAGAGAAATGCAAGAAATACTTGTATGCAGTGAGGAGGGTAAACAAGTGGAACATGCTTGAGGTTTGTGGTGGGAGCAGCATCCATTCACAGCTTCCAGAACAAATACAGCAGAGTACTGGAAAAGTTGAAGGTATAACTGCATCAGGTACAAAAGGTATGATGTGGGTCTGTACAGCTATCTCACTTCCCATTAACAAAATTGGTGAATTACACAAATGTACACACTAACTGCCATTCACTCATAAATTTGTATACTTTCACTACTTTCACACTGTTTTACAACTTCCAGTCTTCCCCAATCACCAAATAAAATGCTTTAGAAGTTATTCTATATACAGTAATATATTTCCATGTACTGTACATACCAGTACTGTTAATTACATTTCTTAAATGTCTTACCGAGTCACCATTGACTTGACCTTGTGCAGCCTCCCAAGGCTGAGGAGCCTCTTCACAGCCCAGTGCTGCAAGTGGGTCGTGAATGAGGCTGTGTTGATGTTGAAGCCACGACTCCTTGCACCGTAACTCATTCAGTTCACGGCGCAGGACATCACTTGCTCTCTTCAACACCGGTAATCTGGGAAAATAAAGAATGTCAATTGTTTCCAGATTGAGATACAGAGATGTAAGTGATAATAGAGACTATGAGAATTGCTGTATACACAAAACAGAAATTGCCTTTTGCATATATCTCTAAATATTTTGGTAATGGACAAAGATGCTAGATATTTTACATTACTCACAGACCATGCAATCCAAACAAAAGAATAAATGGTTATATTATAAACATACAAGTTTATACTGGTCACACTCCTTTAAAATGGGTTGTATAGTTACTTGACCAGATACTGTGTTAGCACCACAATTGTGGGACACCTGGTGTATGTTATAATTGCAACCAGCAACATATTGTGGGTAATATCCCCATAGATGTTGCATATACTGTAATTTAATAGTATACAGAAGAAATGTTGGTGTCTTTGTATAGATCAGCTTACCTTCTTTAATTTCACATCTTGGATGTTTCCAATAAAGTAACTTATATTTTTTGTACCATTGAAAACAGCATTAACTTTCTATAGTGGTTGGATGCATGCAACTTTACTATATGGCTAACAATAGGCTACCTGACAGTTTAGACAAGTTTCAGTAAAATACCAACTGAGAAGGTATATACAGTACAGTAATTCATCGACATTCCAGGTTGCTACAGCCTAGCATATAACTATGTGTTGGTTTTCCAGGTTAATGGAAGATGGTTGCACACATGCTCAGTCAGCACTCCAGCTCTGGATAATCTCCAATGCTATTTCCAAACATTAGACCTGGCAGCCAGCAGGATGTGCAAATCCTCTGGTAGCAGCACTTTGGCTCTGTGCCAGTTGAGGTTTGGAAATACTGTAGTCTAATCAGATGTGCTGATGAGTTGCGGGCCACTTCTTATTCCAAAAGTGGAATACATAATCACATCCCATGCTAAAGGAATAAGCATTCAGTTTCAAGATTCTGTAAAAAGTGTGAGTGGTGAGGGAGTAAGGTGCGTCACTAAAGCCCTATTCAGGTTTCCAAGGCCTGGCACACAGTTATGCAGTGGTGTCCCGAGCTAATGCAATAAGAAGCAGAAAGATCTATTAGTGAACTTTAAAATATCAGTCAAAAGCTCTGATATTTCAACCTTCATACAAGTTAAAGTGTTGCACACATACTGTACAAGGAAGAACTCTCTCTTAAAATGCCTTACACAGCACCCAATGAAAATTCAAACACTGTGCACGATGCCAAGTGTGATGAAGGGTCTGTAGGTTCCCATTGTTGGGGACAGGAAGCATTTACTTAAGCATATATCAAGGTCCTTCAAAGATTGAACTAGTCCTTCTCCAAGATGCAACCTACAACAGTTGTATAGCTCCTGGGTACCTATTTACTGCTAAACAGAGGCACAAGGCGAAAGGAAACTTGCTCAACCATTTGTCTCACCCAAGGATCAGACCTGGGATTCTCAACAGTGAGTCAAGCACTTAGATCATTGTACTACAGGATTCTTATTGATTAATACTTAATAACTCTTATACTGTGGTTAATTAGTTGTTACATATAATGCATATTCAAGAAGCCACTAATATGCAATGCATTTCAGGCATAACTTAAAATACTGTACTGTAATTCAGTTAAATTATTTATAGGTTTAATATGGTAAACACTTAATACTAAATAAGAAGTAAGCTAACTACACAGTTACTTGGAAAGTAAATACTATTTTTGCATAAAGTTGCTGTTATATATGAATATATTGCAAGATCTCATACTTAATCCTGAAGTAGCATACCTACCTTGATGCAATATTGGTATCTTGCAAAGAATTCTTCTTGATGTTAATCACTTCTGTTTCATGTTGGTTTAATAAGTTTTGTTTTTCACGAAGCTCTGTTGTGACTTCTCTCAACCTGTGTTCAATGTCACTGAGCCTGAGTCGTAAGGAGTCAACTGTGAGCGAGTCAACGGCCAGCTGACCAGCCTGAAGGGAACCAACACCATCTCCTAAAAGCTCACTGCAGAATTCAAAGGATACTGGGTCGGGCGGGGAACTCCTGGTAATATAAATGATTAGAATTAATTCTTGCCGACATTTTGGAAAAAGCCATAAAATAAAAATGCATTACATATACAAAATGCTCCATTCAAGAAAGGAATGAAACAGAACTATCAACTGCAGATGAGGGATTGAGTGCCTACTACTAATACAATCAAAATCTCAATAAGTATATATAAATATGCAGCTATTAAAAAAAGTATCGACTGAAAATAAAATGCTCCTTTTTGAGCCAGTCCATCAGTTGCTTCCATAGCAACTGCAGGTCAACCCATGACTTTGGGGAAACCTTAACCCACCATGGCATGCAACTTTTAAACTGGTTTTATTTCATATGACTGGAAGACTTTGGAGAGTACTGTATTTCAACCTTCCCACTAGGGCAAAAATGCGAGAAGCCATCCACAAGCTCATCTGTCTTGCAATATTGTGAACCACCATAAGAACTAAACCCTGAAGAGCCAGAAGAGGTGCTCTAGCCAGAGTCCAGCACCACAATGGGAGATACTGGAAAGAGCCCCACCTCCATATGAAGTACATAATGCACTGTCTGTATATCTCCCGAAAAAATGTGAGCACACATAATACCGGTGACCAATGTTCCTGGTTGGTCTGATGAAGACTGGAGATAAAGCCCCAAATCACACCAGAAATATTGTTAAAGAGCATTTCTTCATTGATGCTCTTGTTCTGGGTACTTAATTTACCTGGAGAGGGTCTTGGGAGTTGTTCTACTTTCCAAGCCCAGCCTGGGACCAGGCTTGACTTATGATAGCTTGGTCCAATAGGTTGTTATTAGCAGCTGCCTGCAGGCCTACATGTCCACTACAACCCAGTTGGTCTGGCACTTCTTGCAAGAACTGATCTAATTATTTCTTGAAAAAGTCCACCTTTGTTCTGGCAATATTTCTATTGCTCGCTGGCAAAGTATTGAACAGCCGTGGACCTCTGATGTTCAGAGAGTGCTCTATTCACTGGTTCTATTCTGCATTTCCTTCCGTATCTTTCGCTCCAGAATGTTGTCATTCTACTGTGCAGATTTGGAACCTGGCCTTCCAGTATCTTCCATGTACATATATATTATTTGATGCTTCTCTTGTCTCCTTTCCAGAGACAGTACATACATTCATACATAAGTACAGACATTCATACATACTGGACTGTACTGTACAGTATATAGTACTGTAAGATAGTAGATAGTACTGTACATACATACTGTACTATGTAAAAATCTAATTCAGATCCATTAATATTTTTAAATAAAATTTTATTATCATCATATTGCATATGGCATTCATCTAAATCTATAAGCAGTGATTTGATGTTTATTATATTACAGTAGTAAAATCTCAGCAATATGCATGACTGAATGTGATTTTCTAATGTAATTAAATCAACAATACTGTATTAACAAAAATATCTTTCACTATCATGCCGTTGTTTTACTTACTTATTGGTCTCTGAGAAGGACGAGTATTCAGACTTAGGCGAAATGGCTGACACAGAAGATGCAACTTCTGTTTGTAACTGGGCATACCGACCTTGTGTTGTGTCTGTCAACTCGCACACTTCCGTCAGTATTGAACGCCTGCAAAATCAAGATCTGAATGTCATGGAACATTTTTTTTTTAGGGGGGGGGGGGGGGAAGAACTCCCAGTAGCATCCCAAGCTTAGCTCTGAGCCATAGCCAACACACTAGGCTCCTGACACCCATCTGTTTCCTCCTGGAGGCTAGGACCAGAATCTCACTTACTCTCAGGTAAGCTTGGGGATCAACCACCCAAAAGTGGGACACCCCTCCTCCCTTCAGCCACCACCCACCCTGCAGATTTTTTTCCTTCACAGAGGATACTCTAATAAAATCCTACAAGATGCAGATAGAAAGTTAGCACAAAAAATCAGATCTTCATTATTACAACAGAGGAGACTACAGCCAACTAATGAAAGGCTAATCCTCCCATTTCTCTATTTTCCAGGAATTGCAGGGCCACTTTGGAGAGAACTCATTAACCCCTGAGGTTATCTAACAAGTCTACATGGAAATCACCCAGCATGGAAAAAATTCCCACAAGAGATACCCATGTTAGCTTGGAAACGAGGGAAATCCTTAAATGACATCCTGGTAAAAGCAAAATTTCCTTAGCAAACCCAGAAACCATAGGGTCAAGGAGACACTCCAAAATAACAACCATCGTACATATATTGATGTAATGGACAATTAGAAAGTAACACTTGGTAGTACAGGTATTGAATTTGGACAAACCTGAAAAGATTCTGTATTTATGTTGCTAATAAAACCTAACCTACTCACCCTAGGCCCTAACACATTATCTGAGGCTTGTTATAGCCTCAGTATAGTTATAGAGCGAGGTCTGCCAATCAGTAGCGCATACAGTGTAAGTGCTATAATTGGTCCAGGAATATTCGTGTTTGGTTTTAAGCTTTATTTTTCCAGACTTTTATAAAGTGAATACTGTAGTACCAAATTCTACTAATTGTCCATTACGTCAATTAGGGTTGCCCTCTTGCCTCATAGAGTGAGGCAAATTTTGGCTTCCGATAGTCGAAAGATGAGTCTCGGAGCCTTGGTGTGTTTAGCTCGTGCTTTAGCTGGTAGCAGAGCTAAGCTTGGGTCTTTACTTTGTACTTTTCAGTACCTCCCAGAAAGTACCCTGCTATGAGTGATTTGTTCATTTGATGCATCACACTATTGTGATTTCCGTGTGCATGACTTAGCTTATTCTAGTATAAAGAATTACAAGTATAGTAAACGGTTATGCTTTATAAGATTTAAAATTACATATGTTTAATCTTCTCATGCTTTAATAAAAGACAATATTACAGTATTTTCTATATAATATTTACTATATAATGTTTACTATACTACAAGAATGTACAACTGACACAACAGCTAAGTTTTTGTTAAAAGTCTTAAAAACTTCACCTGCTCTGTCTTACCATTTGTCAATCATATCTTCCTGTACTCGCTCTTGATACTCGAGTAGACCCGGGAGAAGTACTGTTCGGAAGTCTCTCTCATAGTCTGCAGCTTCACACAGCAACAGGACATAGTCATTGTGAACTTGGTGAAGCTTTTTACATGCCTTTTGATACCGTTCCTTCAGCTCATCCAACTTGCGTCCTGGTTTTCCTTAAACAGACGATTTCTAAGTTTGAAAACATTTAACTATTAGCCTATTCCTCAGAATTAAAGTAAACAGTGAAATAATAGCACTATGAGATATGGATCAGTCACACTGTGGCAACAGGAAAAAGATATTGTAACTTCAGTTTTCTGTCTCATAAGGCATGTATAAAGAACTGAATGAAATAAATCTAAATAGTACAGACCTCTGTATGTTTCTTGCAGTATTTCTACACACTTGCTACCTCCTAACCCCAAGCACATTGTTCCTAAGCATCCTCTGCTCTCACTCAGCCTACCGCTTTGCTCCATAGTTGTCCACCAACACCACCCTCACAACACCTTCACTCCAATCCTTTCATACCACTGCACTCTCCAAAATCTTGACCTCCATATAACGGATCCAACTACCTAAATAACTGATTAAATCCACCTACTTGATTATATCTTTGAAAATTTGGGTTTCTCAAAAAAAAATTATCTGGATCTAGAAGGGAGGGGAAGAGGGCACTGTGGATTTTAGTATTTTTTTTTTTACTTCTGATAATAATTTCACTAGAATTTTAATTGTATTCTTATTTTTATTAATCTTCACTTTGTATTTGTAAATACTGTATTATTTGAAATAATACGGTTATTTTAAAAATGTTTCACTAAACTTGTATTGTAATATAAATTATATAAACGAGTATGTGAAATTTTCTGAGGTATGCAGACTTTTATATTATTATTAACAAAATTAGGTATACACAGCAATGTGCTGTTTTCCCTGTGGGTGAATGGTGTGTGACCTCTTGTTACTCATGCATTTTCAAAGTTATTTCTTCTGATATAACACTATTTGTGAGTTGGAGTCACATAGTATGCATATATCAGACAGAGGTGAGAGAAACATCCTTACTATTAATAACATGATCATGCGCAGGGAGGAAAGTGGTTTGCAGAGGGGAATGGCATTGGTACTAGTGAACAAATCCCCAGGAGCCGTGATGAAGGTTCGAACCTATGCGCTGGGTGTTCCCAGGCACACACTCCAGAAAACTAGGCCACGGCATGGTCAATAAGGATTGCAGCCTGGGGTTCAACTGGACCCACGAGGATTCCCGAGGCTTCCACTGAAGCCGAACCAGGGTTTCACATAATGCCCGCATGCACTCTAGGTTAGTGTGATTGCTCTATGTGTATTGGTACTAGTGTTGCTTTTACATAAAAATGCAAAGAAAAGAGATCATATTGTTTAATTTTTTTTATTAGCAAACTTAGGTATGCACAGCAATGTGCTGCTACCCTATTCTACATGAAAGATTACACAGTGTAGGTCAAAAACTAGCTATAAGTTAATCTAATATTCCATATTGTTTACAGATTAACAGTTGAAGGTGACTGCACAAGTCATGACACAATATGGCACTATAACTACACTTTGCTTCCTGTGGGTTATCATGGGTACAGTAGCACAGGGTCCTTGGTTCACAACTAAGCGATCTTTGGTTGTGATCAAGCGTACCTTTGACTTCAAGGAAAATAAGGTAATGATTCAGTTGTATAAATCTTTGGTGTGCCCCCATTTGGATTATTGTATCCAAGTATGGAGACCTCATCTTCAGAAGGACATAGCTGCTCTGGAGAAAGTGCAACGCCAGGCAACAAAAATTATTCAAAAGCTAAGTCAATTCTCGTATAAGGAATGGTTGAGGGGCCACAGACGAGTTAAGAAGTAATTAAAAAGCTTTAAATAATTCTGATAAAGTGATCTAGTGGAGGTTCTGGATAGAAAACTGTCCCCTAATAATAAAAATAATAATAATAATAATAATAATAATAATAATAATAATAATAATAATAATGTAATTTATTCACAGGTAGGTACAATGGGTAAGTGAGATTACGTATCATTGGTATTTTTAAGAGGACCACATTAAGAACACTGTGTAAGGAAAAGGTGCAAAGACATGTAACTGTATTACTCCTGGAATTAAAAAAAAAAACTAAGAGCTACAAGAAGTTAGATGTGTTAAAAGAAGTGAAATGATCACTACATATAAAATAGTAACAGGAACTGACAAAGAATTTGTAAAAACTGCAGCTTTCAAAAGAAAAGGACATAAGTTCAAACTAAGGAAACAAAGCTGCTGAAAAAAAACTAGAAAGTTTACTTTTGCAAACAGTGGTAGACGGTTGGAACAAATTATGCGAGAAGATGAATTACCTGAATAACAATTTGAATTTGAATTTGAAGGTGGAGGCCAGAACTATCAACTGTCTGAAAGTGTCACATGACAAAGAGTACTGGGAAGATGGGACACCACGAGCATAACTCTCATCCTGTAACCACACTTAGGTAATAACATTAAGGTAATACATGTAACTATGACATAGGAATAAGCACAATCAGCACCATGAAGGCAATCAGTTAATGTTCTCAACTGTGAAGTTTGTTGTACAAGCACAGAAGCTCAATTCAATTGATAGCGTACTCTATAATCATCCAGCAGCTACAGTAAAAACAATTGGTTATTAGTATTGACTAATAGTGTAACAGTGAGAGTAATGCAGTGAAAGAATTAAGCGGTGAACAATGGTATACCGTACTGTTCTCACCTTTTAGAAATTGATCTTCGTATTTCGTCTTAGAGGTCTTGTAAAATTCCAGTGCCTGTTCGTAATTATTCTTGGATTTTCCAACAGCTTCTTGTAACTGAAAATACAATCACTGTTTAAACAAGGTTAGTTGCAGGTATGCAAGTCCCTGTTGAATGATCATTATGCAAATTTTCTAGACTTTTGTACAACAGATGAATAGTTATACAAATTATCGAACAACTCCTGTACAATACAGTATGGTTTAAATCTTTAATGGGTACAATATTTAAGAAAGCAGTACTAAACATCTTTCAAGAAACCCTATGAACATTTTTCCTTTTTGACTTGTCTAATTAATTCTAAGAAAATTTAAATCTCTTAATATGATATTATTATATACAATATTAAAGTATATATTATTTCTTACCTGATATGTTGTCTCTATGAAGCGATGAGAGTTTGGGGATCACAAATTATCCCCCTCCCCGGAAAAACAAAAACAGAAAGAACACGAGAAACTACTTGAAGAAAATTAGGTCAAGAAGGCAAATGATCATGTCTGTGGAGTAAGGACCCAAAATGTGACACTCCTGATCACGTCCTAGTTGTGACCCTAGTGACCCGGGGGTTCCCGACAGCTGGGGCCCTTACTCGCCTGCCCGCTGTACAAGAAGCACGGCCCCTGACCGGGCCCATCATCGGTTTTACACGTTAAACTAAGTTGTGTTGGGTATCCCCTGGAACATTACTTTCTTACAGTTTTCTTTCTTTTTCGCAAGTGTGTTTAATGCCACCTGTTTTGTGTGTGCTCTGGGTTTGCATTTTGCTCTACCTGTAAACAAGATTACCTTCCTTGGTAGTTGACTATTCAAGTCTCTTTCCTTCGGGTTAATGCATGGAACATTAATTGTTCCATGCATTAACATGGTTTGTGGCCCCCTTATGTTTCCTTGCCTCTCATTCCAGGTATAGGTCCTGGCTGTTGAGGGAATCCTTGCTATTGCTCTCTGGTACTCTCTGTGCCTCCAGCTCAAGCTGGGGTTTGCTGTTTTCTGGAATCCAAGTTATTTATCAATAGTTAGGTGTCTGTGGGGCAGCTGAGGCAGTCTACTAAGTTTTGGCGGTGGCTTCGTTGCTTAACTTTCCTCTGGCTGCCCCTTGTTTGTGGTGCTTTCAAGAGGCTCGCCTTTTCTAGGGAAGAAGGGAGCTGGTGGTCTTGATGACTGGCTCCCCTTTCTTCCCTATGGTTCTGGTGGTGTCATTGATTTAGGGGCGACGACAATCGTGGGATCGGATGCGCCCCAGTGTACCCGTGAAGGGTTAATCGCGAAGCCTAATGGTGAAATGAATATAGCTTATCAGAGGAAACTAATGTGTTTCGCGGCCAATAAACACACAGAAGGGCAGATGATTGGGGCGCCCCAGGAGTCCCTCAGGGTGACAAAAATCGGCCCCGCTCCAAACAGAGAACATTGAGTAGAGAAACCAAAAACTCGACCCCTAACTAAAACGTAAAAGTCAGCCAGTGCTTCCCGGCAGAGCAAAAGTCAGCCGCCCATCACGTCTGAGGGCACAACAGGAGCCCACCAAGACCCACCAACTCCTGGCACCTCTCGGCCAAGCCGGCGCCGGACACCGTCACCCTGCCCGAAGAACCAGCCAGAAAACGTTCAAAATCTATCAACTATCCTGATAGTTGATAGATAGTAGAATCTATCAACTATCCTGTGATCCCAGGCAATATATCGGCCAGGCGTTGTAACAATCCAGACCGTTGAATAGGAATGCCAAACGGCAATATAAAAATCCAAAATCGCAAACCAGAACGTGATCCGGCGGCCCCCCCCCAGGCGGAGCAGGTGTCCAGACGTTAGCTCGTCGTCAAGGTTGAACCAGGCGTTGTTGTCACTATGGTTCTGGACCCCAGGGGGGGTTGTAAGCTCAGTCCTAGACCCTTCTTTTCTATGGGCGAGGGTAGAGTTTCAGGGTCCCGGGTTTGTCTATCTCCCTTTTTATGACCAGAGAACAGCTTCTCCCAGGAGGCTTATTCTGTCTTCCCTTCTTGTCCATATTGTGCCCTCATTTTATTTCCTGGGTGATGCCTGTTGCTTGCAGTTAGCTTCTCAGCTCCCTGACATCTAGGTTTCTTGGATTCCTGGTGGTCTCCTGTATTCCTTGGGGGTTTCTTCTTTCCTGCTGAGTTCTGTTTATTGCTTGCATTTTGCTTACAGGCTGTATGTGGTCTTAAGAGTCTGTTTCAGTTTTGGGGGTCTCCTGCATTTGGTCCATTTTCTATGGGAGAATCGTTTCTCCTTTTTAGTTCTGGGCTTAATCTTTTGTGGGTACTCAGTCTCTAGGATTTCCTGCAGGAGCTCTGATTTTCTGCCGCTCTCCACGGGTCCTCTGTTGCTCCAGCTAGACTCTGAGGTTTTCCTCTCGCCTTTGAGGGTATGACGTATCTGCAGAGTTGTCTGGCCTTTCTACTCTGAAGGAGGGTACTGCTCCATCAAGTCTTGGGTATGAAAGTGGATTTTTTCCTGGTTTTATAGCCTGTCTGCATGGATCATGCTTGCTGGATCCTGTGGGGAAGGGGGTACTCTTCGGTCCTTCTCAGTTGAATTCTCCCTGTTTCTAGGGGCATCCTGTTTTCTTTCTCCTAGTCAGCTGTCTCTTGCCATTGCTGTTTTTGGTGAAGTTAGAATTTTATCTGATTCGGCTGTCCTTCCCTCTCTTGAAACATACCCGCTCTCTCCTTTCTCCTTCCTTTTCTCCTCGTCTTCCCTCTATATTTTTTTTATTAACACATTTAGGTACATCTGCATTTGTGCAGCTACCCTAGACTATATGAAGGGGAGTACAGTGTGTCAAAAAGCTAGCTACGTGATGCTAGAAAATCCCCATCACACAGGATGGTTAGTCATACAGTGGCATGTGATAAGTAGTCTGCACTGACAGACTCTGGGTTCGTTATGAGGATATCATCAACACAAGAGTAAATAAGGTAGCAGTGATACTATAAGTCCCCATCTCGCAGGATGGTTAGTCATACAGGGCCACATGTTCAGTAGCCCGCACTGGCAAATTTTGGGTACACTATGAGGATATCTTCAAAAAACACGAGAGTGAAATAAAGTGATTGCAAAGTTCCAGGTGCCTCATGCCAACGGGTCTGAATGGTCTAATATCCGTCTCAGGAAGGTAAAGAAATCTAGGGACTCGGCCAGCCGCCTTTCACCAATTAGGTGGGGTGGGGGATGGGTCACTATTCGGCCTCTCATTAGAACAAAAAGGATTGACCCTGACCAGTTTATGTCTGTCCTGTACCCCAGACCATTCACCTTGCAAAATTGGCTGAGGTTAGTTCCTAGCGTCTGGCCTCCGACGTTGTACAAAAAACAATTTTATAAAACAAAATATACACAAATTAAAATTAAAATTTATAGACAAAATGGTTGAAATGACGTGCAAAACGCCACGATCCGAAATGAGCCTACCCCCCAAACAAGACCCCCATAGGAACACTCACTCTAGTTACTTCATTGGTGATCCTCTGGTGCTCCTCATAGTAGACCTTCCTGGAGGCACGCTTCTCGGTGATGAGGGCGGCCAGCTTCTCCACCGTGTCCAGCACCAGGGTGTCGGCATTCTGGCGCATGATGCTGCTCCACTCGTCCAGCCCCTCCACCATGATGCGCCATGCCTGTGCGTGTGTGTGGGAGACACAAGTAACTTTGAGAGGGTGTTGACAGAGGGGAGTCACATGCCATGGTTGCGTATACAAATAATGTGTGTTTTGATCGTCAACCGCCCATCGTCGTAGCTCCTACACATGCCACTTTCATCTGTTTTAATTTTCTGGAATATGTTCTTGCATCATATTACACATCCCAAACATACCGGACTTCATGTTGTCTATGGTATGGATAATCCCTGTAATACAGCTGGGTTCGTTATCGACTAGCAATCAGCAATCCCGAGTTTGAATCCTGGGTGGGACAGAAATGATTGGGCATATTTACTTTTACCTAATGCCTATGCTCACCTAGCAGTAAATAGGTACCAGTGAGTTGGTCAACTATAGTGGGGTTGCATCCTGGGGAGGGCCAGTAGTTCGACCTGGGGGAGGGGGGGAGGACCTCGATATAAACCTAATGTATATATTGATGCCTGTTCCCGACAAAATAAATTATTCAGTATTATTAAACTGAAGGGAGCATTCAATATTTATTTAAATAAGGTAATATAGTACTTAAAATGTAAACAGGAAACTATTGAAAGAGTGTTTTTGGAAGCCTGAAGGAAGTATTCAATATGCTGTATACCACATTTGCCAATTGTTGGAATCTCAATTCCAAAGATTTCAATGTAAGAAGGAATCCGCAGAAACTTAATCAATCTTCCTCAACTAGTATCAATTTCACAGATTTGATATCAAAAGGTTTTCTGCCTTTTTTAAGGTTTTGCAGTGGGGCTATTGACATTTACAGATCACAACTCTTCTTGTATATATTTTTGGGTATTTTAATGCAATAACAATGGCAGTGAACTCTGCTTTCGCTGAGGAGGTATGGTATCAACGTTCCCTCAACGATGCAGAATGGAACTCATACGAAATTATAAATTGATACTGTAATGACAAACAAGTACCGAGCACAGAAAAAGATTTCTGGGCCTAGATATAGCTATCACAGAATGGGCCAGGAAGAGGTTTGAGAGTTCACTTGGGCAGGAACCCTGCATATTACCCACCCCCACTCCCTCACTTTTACGGGCTATTCATGCCCGTGCCACCTCTTGGGTGGCTTAATCTTTATCAATCATCAATCCCCTCACCTTATGCAGATGGGAGTCGTCGAGAACGTTGTCCGGGGCGTCCATCTTGGCGGCGGTGTGGGCCAGGTGGGTGAGGGCAGCAGCGTAGTCCCTGTCGCACTTGGCCCTGGCCACCAGCACCCGCCGCATGGTGTCCAGCAGGCGCAGCTCTGCGTCCTGACGGGCCAGCAGCGCCGCGTGGCTCCGCTCTCCCTGCAGGGACGCGCTGAACCCCATCACCGACCTGTCGACCCAAAGCAGGAGTTAGTGTCTGCGGTAGTCTAGCACGAGGGAAATGGTTGGTGGGCCTAAGAGTAGTATCTGCGGTAGCCTAGCACGAGGGAAATGGTTGGTGGGCCTAAGAGTAGTATCTGCGGTAGCCTAGCAGGTACCGGGGAGTTGCTGGGTACCTGGGAGAACATTAAGCTGCTACGGTAATCTTGATTCAGTAACACCCGCTTCCAGGTGTCTTCTGGAAAACGAATTTAACACGTACAGCTTACTGTTCACTTTGCCCTTATGTATTTAAATAGTTACTGTATTCTTCCTAAGCTAAATAAAAAATTACATTCTAAATATAAATAATTCAATCCTGGTCGGCAAAGTCAATTTAGTGTTTTTGCTAAATGTAATATGACATCTTGAACAGTTTCTGCAAAACGTGAGGACCGCGACCCAGGAAGAAAACACATGGCAAACGAACCCTGCAAGAACAAACCATGGCATTAAAGAGTAGAGATCTAAGACACGAGAGAAGTGTATATAAAATAACTATGCTACCGCTATTCTATAAACAAACTTCACCGAACCCAACCCAACCCAGTCTAACCTAACCTGAGGAAAATATGAGATATACACTGATAAAACACTCGTCTCGACCACCACAAGCACCATAATGCTAACAATATCCTGGGGATGTGGTTACAGCCCCACTCGCTCCTGTGTGACTCAGGTAAGTCCACTACGGGCTTACCATAGCCCGTGCTATTTGGAACTTTCCGAGCAGCTGACTCTAAAACAACAACAACAGCCTGGGGGATGACGCTATAGGTCCTAATGCGCCTGTCCCAGACCAAACACAATCACCCACCCCTCCTTACCACCATATCACCGTTAGGGGGGAGGGGAGAGTGAAGAGGCTCTACTCAGCCCTCCCCCCCCCCCACCTCTATAGGCCAAATAGATGGGGAGCGGGGACAAATAGCCTAACTCCACCTGCAACTAACAGAACTTTTCTCCCACAACTGTCTTGAAGCCTCAATCACATTGACCACACTCCTCAACTCTTCACGGATGACACTATATATATATATATATATATATATATATATATATATATATATATATATATATATATATATATATATATATATATATATATATATATATATATATATATATATATATATATATATATATATATATATATATATATATATATATATATATATATATATATATATATATATATATGTCGTACCTAGTAGCCAGAACTCACTTCTCAGCCTACTATGCAAGGCCAAATTTGCCTAGTAAGCCAAGTTTTCATGAATTAATTGTTTTTCGACTACCTAACCTAACCTAACCTAACTTTTTCGGCTACCTAACCAAACCTAACCTATAAAGATAGGTTAGGTTAGGTTAGGTAGGGTTGGTTAGGTTCGGTCATATATCTACGTTAATTTTAACTCCAATAAAAAAAAATTGACCTCATACATAATGAAATGGGTAGCTTTATCATTTCATAAGAAAAAAATTAGAAAAAATATATTAATTCAGGAAAACTTGGCTTATTAGGCAAATCGGGCCTTGAATAGTAGGCTAAAAAGTGAGTTCTGGCTACTAGGTACGACATATATATATATATATATATATATATATATATATATATATATATATATATATATATATATATATATATATATATATATTAAATATGACCGAAAAAGTAAGATTAATAATTCTAACACGAATTTTCTCAATCTTTCGTACATTTCTTTTCACTGTTGGAGGTAAATCAAAAATCAATTCTCCAAAATTCATTTTTATTTGAAATAAATTCATTTTTCATTCAAATAAAAATGAATTTTGGAGAATTGATTTTTGATTTACCTCCAACAGTGAAAAGAAATGTACGAAAGATTGAGAAAATTCGTGTTAGAATTATTAATCTTACTTTTTCGGTCATATTTAATAATATATGTCTACAGGAAAGACTGCTACCAAAATATACTAATATATATATAGAGCAACACCTTACACAGGAAGATATAAACAGAGGTGTATATATAACTACTACTCGGTGTACGTAGCCTACACTCAGAATTTACTTTAGTTCGGGACACAATTCAGAGTTAAAGTACACTAATTGGTTGCTCACAAAGCTATTGCGGTGACCTTAGTAATTCTCCTCTGCCACGGTTAACAATGCCTCAAGACCACACCACTCACACACACACTTGGGTACCACTTTCTTTTACCGCGCTTATTCCGCTCGTCTGTAACACTGTAAAGTGTTTGGTTTAGTTAATATATACATAGAAATACATGAGTCGGAGACAAGGATCTGAGAGGCGCCAGTTTGTCGGCCTGAAACTCACACCTCTAAGCGTTAATGACCCCAAGTGACCTAAGGTCAGCTCATGCGAATTTCACCTTGCTTCTGATAATCTGATGATTGTAGCCTGGTAGCCTTCAAACATGCCGACGTTCAAGGAGTGGCTTGGTAGAGTGCCGGAGGCTATCTACTTGTGGGCGGAGTTAGCTACTAGGTTTCCCAATATATACTCGGAGAGCTATCGATTCGAGAGCATTAGCATTAACGACAGAGAAGAACGGCAGTCAGCAGAGCAGAGAAGACGGCCCTAGCAGGGAGGCTGTCGGCCGGCAGGGCGGGAGTCTCTGTCAACTACAGACCCCCCCCCCTCTCTATCCAGCTATAGGCACACACTTGGTGAGTTGAACATTAAGGTGACTTGGTCGTGTTTTACAAGTGTTGTGTGATGATCAGGGGCAGTCAGTTGTAGTGTTCTCAGATTCTTGGAGGATGACTCACTTTGAATATTAATCTTTAACGTTTTAATTGGATTGCTTAAGTTATGATATTTATCATGAAAAATATAATTGTTGAATTTATTATTTAAATGGTCTTTCACTGTGTCCCTAGAGTTGAGTTGAGGTGAGAAAGCCTCGGGGATTATTGGTTCCCTGATTTTAATGAGTACATGATAAAGATGGGACATACTAATAATGACCTTGATAACATCTTTTGAGAATTTTGTGATACAGACAAGTTCCATTCCTTGTCTTGTATGTAATGATCATGAATGGATGGTGGCAGCATTTAATCTTCTACTATCTACACTATCTACTTTTCTACTACTATCTACTCTTTTACTTCTACCTATCTACACCTCTCCCTCCACCTCTCTCTAAACTCTCACTTTCAACTAATATTTAACTTTCAACTAATATATTTAAGTTTAAGTTTAAGTTAAAAACGAAGCTATACCTAATAAATTCCCTGTAACCTACCTTACCCCTCTGTTGTCAACCCATGTATGTTTTTTTTTTTTTTTTTTTTCAAATCAACGCTGTTTGAATGTAATTTTCTGAAATAATTTGTAATTGTATTTGTGCTGCTTTTTCAACAATGTTCCCCCCTCTTTTACCTCTATTTTTATTTGTTCTCAACACATTTTATTCTTTTTACCCATTAGTTTTAAGCTTTAGTCATTAATGTTTTTCCTGCCCGAAACGCTTTGCGTAATAGTGGCTTTAGGCATTGTATGTACTAGCTCTATCTATTAAGCCAACAAACTTTGTAAAATCTCTTTATGTATGTACCTTACCTAAATAAAAATTATTATTATTATTATTATTATAATGACCCTCCTCGCTCCTCCCACTTCCCTACCTCTCACCCCAAACCCTCACTAATTACTTCACTATTCATTTCTTTCCTTTCGTTTTCTCTTATACGTTTGTGGCAATGATTCTGTATTCTAGAGTTCTCTCTAGAGTTTCGGGTAACTGATCAAGTGACGGCGCCTTGTAGTCTTAGCACCTAGGCCTAGGTAGTCGAATACCTAGGTTACAAGGTGGTGAACGAAAGAGGTTGCCTTAGGAACTCTGGGAGTGCTCTAGAATAGTTAGCTAACTGGGGACGGGATAACGGACTAGAGAGAGCTGTTTCCCCCGGCCTCGTTAGTTAACTGGGGGGGGGGGGTGGAATAATGGACAAGATAGAACTATTTCCCCCACCCCCCGTTACACGTCTAAGACTGGCTGACGCCGTCACATACGTAAACACCTGCCCACTCAGACAATAGCCTGGTCCTACAAACAAACGCACCTCTCAACACAAACTCTCCACAAAATGCTAGGAGCTCTCAGCCCGTCCGCCTAAGATTTCCCAACGTCAAGAAATTGTCGTGCTAAAGTGTCCTTTTTGGCAACCCGTTCTCGCAAATTCGTAAAGTCAATATTGACTTATTAACTACGTGCATAGGTGATATACTAAACATAATAGATACCCTTAAAAAGATTCATAGAAAACACCGACCTTACCTAACCTTGTTAGTATCTTAAGATAAGCATCTTATTGCTTCGTAATTACAATTATTACTTAACCTATACCTATTATAGGTTAGGTAATAATTGTAATTACGAAGCAATAAGATGCTTACCTTAACATACTAAGTAGGTTAGGTAAGGTCGGTGTTTTCTATGAATCTTTTTAAGGGTATCTATTATGTTAAGTATGTCACCTATGCACATATTTAATAAGTCAATATTGACTTATTAAATTTGCGAGAACGGGTTGCCTTTTTTTTCCTAACCCACTAGGAAAACAGAAAAACGGGCCAGTACGTCAATTTCGCGAGCCGCTATCATTTTCTGGTGCGACGATTTTTGGCCTTAGGTCGAGTATATACGTCAAAATGCGACGTTTTGTTGGGAGGACGGGTTGAGGAGCTATGAAGCACACGCACAAACTCAACCATACCACAAACCACACGCACACACCACATCCCTCTCCCCTCAACTCGCCCCACTCCTAACACACACACACACACCAAACACACACACACACACACACACACACACACACACACACACACACACACACACACACACACACACACACACACACACACACACACACACACACACACACAGGGGGCCTCGTAGCCTGGTGGATAGCGCGCAGGACTCGTAATTCTGTGGCGCGGGTTCGATTCC